GGAAATTTGGGGCATCTGTCACCCTTTTATTGATTCATAAATCTGTATTTTTGGAATGTTAACAAAGACAAACACATACTTTGCATCCATGTAACTCACAAGTCAAGATTTTTCTCTAATGTGAAACAGTCCTTTGTGCATAGTCTAAAAATGTAATGTGCAATTGACGTTTGAAGCATGCTTGTGTTAGGTCCACCTCACTGCTTTTCCTAGTCCATCTCTTAACTAGGTCAGTGAGTGTGTGCATCATGAGACCTGTGATGCTGTAAAGAGGTTATATTTAAATCCCAACTGTACCATTTATATTGACCTTGAAAAAAATAATCTCAGAATTTTTGTTCATTTAAAATATAAAAATGCCAATTTTAGAGTTGTGTCAGGGTTACCCTAGAGGCATAGCTGGAGACAGAGGCTGACGCACGTGTAAATTATTTGTGAATGTGACCCCAAGGGACAGGAATATAGGACTGAGAGTGAAATGTGGAAGAAGGAAAAGCCAGCACAAGGTTGAGTTAATATGCTTGTGTTCCCATATGAACGACTAGTGCTCAATCATGCCAAGTCCTTATGAGGAATCTTATGAAATGAGATCTCAAACAGACTAATGAGAAGACAAAAAAGGAAGCAGTTACCCATAAGTTTCCAAACCTCATTGCTCCAAAGTGGTCCTACTAGCCTTACTCTTTACACACTTCCAAGTTGACAAGCACTATGCAGAGATATTTCCTGTGAGCACCAGCTATGGGGTCAGAAAGCCTCAGGGCAGGAGAAAGAGGTATTCAAGATGGAAAAAAGCAAAGCACCTTCTCATTGTCTCCTGCATGAAGTCTGTCCTGGTGTGACACTGAGAGTTAATGTGCTGGACCACGAGATTGGTTTAAACTGCAAGGCCAGTGGTTCGAGCTCACCACCCGCTCCTCAGAAACCCTACACAAGGACACTACGCTTCAGAATTGACTCAGTGACACTTAACAACAACATATCAATGGCTAGAGTAAGAGGTGAGACTGATAGGATATGAAGAGGTGAACAGATATAGATAGGGTTACAGATATAGATAGGGTTATTGTAAAAATGAAACATAAATCTCTTCTTGTTGTAAGTGCCATCAAGTCGATGCCAACCCATAGCGACCCTGTATAGGATTTACAAGGAAACCTCTTAGCACAGTTATAAGCTCCCAGTAAATGGTAATTATTACATTATTATACTGCGTGTTGTAGGGTAGCTACCTATTACTATATTTATAGTTTAACAGACTGATAAAATAAAACTGATAATTATTACTGTTTGTAATTGATTTGTTATAAATGGAAAAAAAAAAAAAACAACCCTACTTTAGAAGCTTTTCCTTTTTTTTCAAAGTGAGGAAATGAAGAAGGCTGCAGTCAAATTCATGTTGACGCCAACATATCTAGTCTGAGTGGTGAGAAAATACTCTTGGCAAAATAGAGACTGTGAAACACTAGGTAGGATTTAAAAGGTAGAAAATCTAACCTAAAGTCTCTGTTCTTGAGGCCATATCCCTTGGCTCCCATGGATGAAATTCCCATCTTGTTGATGTTGCATATTGATGCATTCCAAATCTATATTTCCAGCCCAGACCTGAGCAGACTTCTGTATCCACTTGGGTGATCTCAGTCTCCATAAAGTCAACACTTCCAATAGTAACCTTCTCCTCCTTCATTCCCAGCTCTAATCATCTCCCTTTTTACCTTTGTCAATAAATAAAACCACCATCCCCTTAGCTGCCCTAGGCAGAAATTTAGCATTCATACTAAGTTGTCTTCCTCTCCCTCATCTACACTGGGTCCCCACATCAGGATGTACTAGCAATTCTGATCTAATGTACTTCAGTGGCTCTCAAGTAACTCTACTTATTTGTCCCCCATATCCAGGATGCACTACCAACTCGAATCTAATCTACTTCAATAGCTCTCATGTAACTCTACTTCTCTTCCTGTCTGCTGATACTACTTAATCTAGTCTATCATTCACTGTCTCTTACCTGGATTAATACAACTGCATCCCAGTAGTCCCTTAACATCCCCGCCTCTAATCCTGTTTCCAGAAAATTCATTCTTTTCACAGATCTACTCGCATTATTCCATTTATTTGCTTCCCATTGTCCAGTCGTAAACACAATACCTGACACATTTGTTGTTGATACGTGCCAGCAAGTTGGTTCCAACTCAATAGCGACTCTATTATGTACAATAGAATGAAACACTGCCAAGTCCTATGCCATCTTTCCAGTTAGTCCCATGTTTGAGCCCATTGTTGTAGCCGCTGTGTCAATCCGTCTTGTTGAGGATCTTCCTCTTTTTTGTTGACCCTCTACTTTACCAAGCATGGTATCCATCTCTAGGGGCTAATCCCTCCTGATAACATGTCCAGAATACATGAGACAAAATGGTAATCCTCTCTTTTAAGGAGTACTCTGGCTGTACTTCGAAAACAGATTTGTTCGTGCTTCCGGAAGTCCATGGTGTATTCAGTATTCTTTGCCAATACTATAATTCAAAGGCCATCAATTCTTCGGTGTTCCTTATTTCACCTGCATATGAGACAATTGAAAATACCATGGCTTGGGTCAGGTGTACCTTAATCCTCAAAGTGACTTTTTTTTTTTTAATATTTTAAAGAAGTCTTGTGCAGCAGATTTGCCTAATACAATGTGTCATTTGATCTCCTGACTGCTGCTTCCATGGTTGCTGATTGAGCATTCCAGTAAAATTAAATCCTTGACCATTTCATGATGTTTATTGGCCAAGTTGTGAGGATATTTGTTTTCTTTATGTTGAGATAAAATCCATACTGAAGGCTGGAGTCTTTGATCTTCATCACAATAAGTACTTCAAGTCTTCTTTGCTTTCAGCAATCAAGGTTCTGTCATCTGCATATCACAGGTTGTTAATGAGTCTTCCTCCAATTCTAATTCTGCATTCTCCTTCATATAATCCAGCTTCTCAGATTATAAACTGAATAAGTATGGCTGAAGGGTACAGCCTTTTTTCTTACTTAGCCATCTCCTTGCTTCACTTTTCAGAGGGCATGTGCACTAACTGTCCTCCTTTTCTCTCACCTTCCACCATGCACATGTTGGTTAATTCCATCTCTGTTAATTCTGTTCTTATAGGAACTAAACCCAAACCAAATTAGTTGTTATCAAGTCAGTTGTGACTCATGGAGACTCCTTGTGTTTCTGAGTAGAACTGTGTTTTATAGGGTTTTCAAGACTGGGACTTTTTTTTCTTAACTGTTTATTGTGAATTGAGTCAAGGTTAACAGACAACATCATCAGCTTTACTTACATCCAATCATATGTTTCGTTTCATCTCAATGATTACCATACCCTCCCTGCAACAACAATTATCCTGCTTCTTCCCTGTGCATTCCCTTTCATATCTTATTTTTCACCAATCAACAAAGCAAAAATATTTGATTTACACATACAAAATAAAAACTATGTTGTTAAGTGCTATGGAGTCGGTTTCAACTCACAGTGACCCTGTATACGGTTTCCTAGGAGCAACTGGTTAGCTTGGACCACCGACCTTGCTGTTCAAACTAACCTTGCAGTTCAGCATATTAACCTGCAGCACCACACGCCTGCAGCTGTTCTATCTTTCCATGCCCTGTCTCTGCCACCATCTCTGCTTTCAGTGCTTTTCTGGGTAGTATCTCACACTCCATTCATGATCTTCTTTATTGATCCTGGGGTCATCTGTTCCTTTAACGAAAGGTTAACTACTTCCCCCATTTAGTTACACATCTTGTACAGTTACAGGTGTGACAATCACCAATTAATCCTGCTAACAGTTAGTTACTCACAATTCAATCATAAAATCCTACCACCATCATCACCATCCCCTTTCATCAGATCCATCTGGAAAAAAGGAAAACTATTCAGTAGAGATTCTACCCCCTCATTATGAAATTAAGCACACTTATGAAAGCTTATAAGCCAGCCACTTCATGCCTCATGGCCCTCCATTTTTGATAGCCAGTGTCTAAATTGCCCATCCCTAAAGCTGGGACATTTTAGAAGCAAATCACCAGGCTTTCCTATTCTTCCCAGACATCTCTGGGTATGTTTGAATTGCCAACCTTTAAGTTAGTTGTGGAGCACTTACTTTGTGCCACCAAGGCCTCCCCTTCTTATAGGTTTATTGTTAAAGTGCCGTGAAGTTGGTTCTGACTCATAGTGACCCTGTATAGGGTTTCCTAGGAGGTTCTGGTGTGTTTGAACCACTGACCTTGCGACTTAAATGGGCCTTGCAGCCCAGCACATTATCCTGCAACACTACACCAGGACTCCAGAAACCATGGTTAGATGCCTTACCATGTGCATGTTGTAAGGCCCAAGGGCCTTTTACATCTTTATCAAGGGGAATGCTAACCTTCTCTCCTTTCATATAATATCTTCTTATAGGTTGTTGTTGTTAAGTGCCATAGAATCGGTTCCGACTCATAGCGACCCTGTACAGGGTTTCCGAGGCTGTAAATCTTTACGTGAGCAGAAAGCCTCATCTTTCTCCTAAGTAGAACCCTATTAATAACCTGACCTTCAACTTGAGCATTATTTCAGAGTACAAGCTAGCTTGTGAATTTGTTTCCAATTTTGAAATTTAAAAATATTATTTGTACAACTCTTAAAAAAAAATTTTTTTTCTTTATTGCTTAGAGAAATTAACAGGGCTTTTTTCCCTCATTTCTTCTATTTTAGTCATTTAAAAAAAATTGTTCATATGGTGAACCAGCAATAGTTACATTGGTATCTGTCTCTTTGATCGTGTAATCATTTTCCAGACATGAACTTACTTTTTTCCAACAAAGGGAGAGATAATTGGTAGTTTCATTTTTTTTATTAAAGCAGCTTTTATTTTAGGTAGCCAATAAAAGAAGTATAAATTCATAAACTGACTTATATTGAAAAGATTGACACTTATCCTCCTCCCCTGCCCCCCTGTTACTTTCTTCCACAAAATATTTTTCAGAAGCGAACATCCCCTGGCTCAACTCTACTGTCATTCCATCATGGAACACCATCATTTTGACCAGTGTCTGATGATTCTTAATAGTCCAGTGAGTACCTAATTTATGGTTGTGGAATTTTAAACAGAGCTTTATAAATTCAGTGTTATTTTTAGGTTTTGGGTTAGTTCCCAGCATCATAAATTCTTGAACATACTTTATCCCTTTTTGGGTAAGGAAGACAAAGCCAAAACATTGGAGATCCTTACAATCTCACTGCACTAGACAGCCAAAGCTGTCTAAATGTTGCGTAGTGTTAATTGTGTTCCCCAAAACTATTGGAAATTTTAACCTCTATGCCTGTGGCTATAATCACACTTGGGAATGAGTTGTCTTTGTTATATTAATGCCCTTAGTATAAATGCATATTTTGAGTCAGTCTCTTTTGAGATATGAAAGAGGTTATAGGAAAAGTGCCAAGCAGAGACAGGGGAAGAGAAGAGAAATGCAAAGCCACATGAATAACACCCAGGAGCAGAAGTCTGGAGCCAACAGAGAAAGAAGCCTTCCCCTAGAGCCAGTACAAGGAGCCCTGGCAGCATAGTGGGTTACTCACGGGGCTGCTAACCACAAGGTCAGCAGTTCAGATTCACCAATTGCTCTGAAGGAGAAAGATAAGGCTTTCTGCTCCCTTGAAGATTTACATGGTTCCTATGAGTCAGAACCAACTCTACAACACACAGCAGCAGCAGAGCCATTACACTGACTTTGGACATCTGGTCTCCTAAATTATGAAATGTCCGATGGATTTTAGCTAAAAGCAGAGAAACCAAGGAAGTTTATATGTATTTTATTGATTATGCACAGGCATTTGATTGTGTGAATCATAACAAATATGGATAATTTGCAAAGAATGGATTTCCCGAACACTTAATTGTGCTAATATGAATCTGTACACAGACCAAGAACCAGTTCACTCAAATAGAACAAGGGGATGCTACATGATTTCACATCAGGAAAGTTGTATATCTGCATCACCATACTTATTTTGTATGCTGAACAGATAATCTGAGAAGCTAGACTATCTGCAGAAAAACACAGCATCAGTATTGAAGCAATGATTACCATCCCCTCCCTGCAACAACAATTAACCCTGCTTCTTCCCTGTGCATTCCCTTTAATATCTTATTTTAACCCATTAACCACCTCTGGTACTGTAGGATAAGCACTGGACTGTTACCCAAAAGGTCAGTGGTTCAAACCAACCAGTTGCTCCTTGGAAATGGCATTTGACAACAACATAATACAAATGACACAATTTTGCTTGCAGAAAGTGAAGAGAACTTGAAGCACTTGCTGATTACCTCTCAAAATAAGCAAAAATCGTCACAGTAAGCAATGTTATGATAAAAAGTTTTGAAATTTACATAGGTTTAAATGGTCTGCCATAGCACTATTTGTCCCATATACCCTGTTGTTTTCAGTGTGTAGTTTTTCAGAACTGAGACTTTTCAGGAACGTATATGTCATGTGATAGCAGAAATATTTGTACTTTTCTTGGGATTTGCTGTCTCTGGGCTTGTCTAAGTTATCTAGTGCTGCTGTAACAGAAACACAGCAGGGAGGTTTTAACAAACGATTTAGTCCAAATTCAGAGTTCAGAGTTCTGGCTCTAGGCGGAGGCTTTCTGTATCTGTCTGCTCTGTAGGAAGGTCTTTGTCTCTTCAGCCTCTGTTCTTGGTTCCTTGGAGATCTCCATGTGTCTAGCCATCTGTCTTACCCCGTCTCTGCTTATCTTGTTGCTTGTTTTAATATTTTATATCTCAAAAGACAGGAGCTCTGGTTGTTAAATGCCATCGAGTTGGTCAGCAACCCTGTACAGGGATTCCAAGGATCAGGTGGTGAGTTTGCACCACTGACCTTGCGATTCAAACTGACCTTGTGATTCAGTGCTTTATCCTAAAGCACCACACCATGAGCCCCAGTAGTGTAATGGATTATGAGCTGGACTGCCAACCAAATAGTCAGAAATTTGCATCTGCCAGTCACTCCAGGGGTAAAAGTTCTGTAGTGGTTACGAGTTGGGCTGCTTACCTCAAGGTCAGCAGTTCAAAACTACCAGCTGTTCCATGGGAGAAATATGAGGCTTTCTGCGCCCATAAAGATTTACAACCTCGGAAACCCTATACGTGGTGGCTAAGAGTCTGAACAGACTCCACAGCACATAAGCACCACCGCCATCTCAAAAGAGATCAAATCACACACTCTAATCCTGCTTCGTTAGCATAACAAAGAACATACTCCCAAATGGGATTATTTTGGTTGGTCTGTTATGGTAGTTTCTAACAGCTGACCTTGAGATTAGCAGCCCAATTTGTAACCACTACACTACCATATTGTTCTTGTTAAGTATGTCAAACTGGTGGTGGTGGTTATGTGCCATGGAGTCCATTCCAACTGTTAGCGACCCTGTAGAGGGTATGTATTTTGGAAGCACACAATTCAATCTTTTATTTTAGTATCTAATTACAAATAAAATTTTTAAAAGAAAGCAAACTAACATTTTTCAAAACAGATTTAATTGTATTCTAATCTGTCATGCTACTGTTTTTATATAATTTATGTAATAGGAGTTCTGGTGTGGCACTGTACGATAAGCACTGACCACAAATTCAGCAGTTCAAGCCCACCAGCCACTTCTCAGAAACCCTATATAGGGTCACTATGAATCAGAACCAACTCCAGAGCACTTAGCAACAACATTATGCAGTATGTTATAACTTAACATACAAGGATTCTGGTTCATATACATGACTGACCTTAAATTATAAGATCTATCTATACATTTTGTCTTTGTAAGCACTGTTGTTGTTAAGTACCGTATACTAGAGTCGGTTCCGACTCATAGTGACCCTGCACAGGGTTTCCGAGGCTGTAATCTTTACGGAAGCAGAACGCCTCATCTTTCTCCCGCGGAACCGCTGGTAGTTTCGAACTGCCGACCTTCAGGTTAGCAGCCCAGTTCATAACCAATTACACAAGAAATGGCAGCATCTACTTTCAGGAGGGAAAATGAGAATATTTGCACCAAAAAAAACAGGTCCTTTTCCATATGAATTGTTTTATCTTGTAATATATATCAGAAGGCGTTTTCTGAATGGTTTTTTGCTTGAACCTAAGTGATGTACTATGTAAAAATAACATTTGGGTTCAAACTAGGGATTTTTGTCATTCATTACATATATATGCCTCAATTTCACAGCTAATTATTCTCTAACCAATGTGTTTTGGCCCCGACCCAACACACTCAGTAGTTCCTTTAGGTTCACAACAAATCCTTTGTCTCCAGATCCCATTCTTAAACTTCTCATCTTGTTCTCAGCCTTGAGATTTCAGGAGTGCAAAAAAATGTTACCATCCATTCCTCCCATAGGACTCTACTCAGCTGGGTTTGATCATTCAATGAATGCCCACACAGAACTCAGACACCATATTCACAGTTCTGGAAGTTAACAGATTCAAGGCCAGAGATGTCAGGGCACAGTTCTTCCAGTCAAGAAAGTCTCTCCTCAGCCATGTCCACAGGCAGGCCTCTCTCTGCCTGGGAAATGTTACAAAGCTCGGTTAGGGCTGCTAATTAATGCTCACAGAGTGCACCATAAGCCTTAACCTGAGGTCCTCAACTCTTAGCACATTGGGTCAGCAAATCTAGCTCCCCTAATTCAGTGTCCCGAGACACCCCATTCTGCTTACAAGAGTCCTGTCCAGAGTCACTCAGTTTTACTTGCTCTGTGGTCTGGGAAGCTCACCATTCTTCTCAGGCTCTGGCTCTTGGTTCTGCTGCTGCTTCTCTAGTGTCACAGTTTTTTGACCCAAGGATCAAGTCAATGATGTTCAATGCCCAGGGATCTCTGGATCCAAAGGATATGTTCCACTTTTGACTCTTTTCTGATGGCAGTGAGATCCTCCCTCTTGCTTCTGAGATGGCACATTTTAAACCCAAGTTAAGAGTTCCAAGTTTTCATAATTACTAAAACTCTGTTAACAATCACAGCTGAATCATATCATCCTATCAGCATCTTCCCTCATCTTTTCTTACCCAAGCCATCATGATAAAGTTGTATGATGGGATTTACAAGGGCTGTGGGTAGAAGAATCATATGAAGTAATCCACTGAACTATAGGGAATATACCCAATGCAATGTACAGGTGTGTCTTGAAGATAATCTGAATACCCAAAGTGTGTGCTTTACCCAATTTAGCTGGGAGTTACTGGGTGGTACAAATAGTTAACGTGCTCAGCAGCTACCAAAAGGTTTGGTGGTTCCAGTCTACCCAAAGTTTCCTTGGAAGAAAGGTCTGATGAACTATTCCAAAAATACCAGCTCTTGAAAACCCTGTTGCATGCAATTTTACTCTGACACACATGGGGTCACCGTAAGTCAGAATTCACTTAATGGGAATACTTTAACTTCCAGTCAAGAAATAAAAAATGGTTATGTGAGGAAAAGTTAAATGATTTGCTTGTGATTAAGTCACTTTTAAGTATTCTGTATAAATGTTTCGGGAGTTCTGATGTGGCACTGTAGAATAAGCCCTGGACTGACAACTGCAAGTTCAGAAGTTCAAACCCACTAGCCCCTACTCAGACAACATGTACCAGTCACAATGAGCCAGAACCAACCTGATAGCATGTAGCAACACCACCAATATTAGAAATAGTGTATATTTCTTAGGAACATGACACTATACACAGGTAGAGGACTTGACGCAAAGTTGTACTTACTATTAGAACAAAGAAATCATGGGTTGAAATATCTGTTTAAAAAAAAAACCTGTTCCCATGAGTCAACAGACTCCTAGTGACCTTATGTGACAGGGTCGAACTGCCCCATAGGGTTTACAAGGTTGTAAACCTTTACAGAGGATGACTGTCATTTCTTGATCTCAGAATACCTGTGGTTTGAACTGCTGGCCTTTCAGTTAGCAGCTCAGTGCTTTAACAACTGCACCACCAGGTATCCTAGAACATTTTGCCTCATGTCCTCTACCTGTCTATATTGTCCTGTTCCTAAGAAATACATAAAATTCCTAATATTGTTGTTGTTAGTGTCATCGAGTTGATTCTGGCTCATAGAGTCTGAGGAGCAGCTGGTAGATTGGAACTGCTGACCTTCCAGTTCGGAAGCGCCAAGTTCCGACTTTGATCAGGTGCTTATTCTACAGTGCCACACCAGGACTACCAATGTTAATAAGGTTAAATTATATGAATTATGTAAAAATGTTATTACAAAAGCCATAAATAACTTTTTAATAATCACTTGTCTAAAATGTTTACCACTCCACTTTTTATGTCCATTAATATAAATTTGGATTTTAAGCATTTTACTGTTAGATTATAGCCATTAACTTGCCCAAAGAAAACTGATGTATTTTAGGTCTGGATAAGACCTAAGGGGTTTAAAAGTTGGGAAAGCTTTAAGTAAACAGGTATCCTCAGCATTCAAGAGTTTAGAATACTGGGCATGTTTTTAAAATATTTGACTGTATTTTCAGATTTTGTTCTTACTAGCTCGATGTTGTAGTTTCTGACTTATCAGCAGCTTCTCCTTGTAGAGTGCTAATGATGGTTTTCTTTTTCCATTAAGGGGAATCAGATCCTCAGTGGCCTCTCCATTGAAGAATATAAGACCACGTTGAAAATCATCAAGCAAGCTATTTTAGCTACAGACTTAGCACTGTACATTAAGTAAGTTTTAAGAAACACTCTGAGGTCAATTAACAGATCTTACAAGTGATAGCATTGTTAAAAACTTTTTAAATTCATGTTGGGGACTTTTTAGATTATATAGTAAGTCAAAACGTAAAAGTTGCTTATGTCAGAGACTATGGAACAGTTTCTTCCCAAACGCTAGAAATGCGTACTCCTTTGACTTACTTAATACTAAAATTTACAAGCTCTCTTGCTGTTTCTGATGTCTATCCACTGATATGTCCCTGGAACTATGTACATAGCAAGTAGCTATCTCGAGATCATTCCAAACCTATAGTTTGTATAGGCCAATTGCTTTTCCTCCTTATCCTTGCTCCACCAATTTTCCAAGCCAGGCTGTCCAATCTAAAGATCGTGTAGGCCATTTGCTTTTCTTCTTGTCCCTGCTTCACCAACTTTATGCACAGTTGTTGCACACAATTCCTTTACACTATCATCCAAAGTTAGGTAAGCAGAAAGTAAAACAAGTAACTCTTTGTTTTGTGAATTTCTTGAGTTATAATGTAGAGTTTTGAAGTTTCTGATTCAAAAATGAGGGTCTGAATTGGAGTGGGTGCCCTGGTGTGGCACTGTAAGATGAGCACTGGACAGCTAACTACCAAGTCAGAGGGTGAACAGAGTTGCTATGTGTCAGAACCAACTCAACAGCACTTAGCAACTTGAACAACAGGGGAATGGCACTTACGCCATGCATTTTTAGAATTAATCTGCTTTTCTAAAAGCTAGAAAATATTTTACTTCTGGGCAAGTGTTTGTTTCTATCTTCGGCGATCTCTGGTGCATGTGGGGAGTAAGGGAAAACAAGGGGCTATCTATTCTCACGGGATTCTCCCACACACAGGTCTCTCCCAGTGTACAGGGATTCACACCCATGGTTTTAGTCACTGTAAGGAGAAGTAAGACTAAATACAACAAACTCACAGAAACTCTTGTTTACCCAGTCGGGTTTTTATAAAATGATACATTCAACTAAATCAGACATCCACTACAGTGTTCTCCAAAAGTATACTGCTTGTCTCAGTTTCATTGAATTTTAGAGCACTTACAATATATGAAAGATTACAATATATGAAAATATACTAGATTTCAGTTTATTCAGCATGATAGTAGAGTAAGGATTTCAGTAATTTGAAAAATATTTCAAACCACATCCCCTCTACCATCTTCCCAGTCCACACTGACCTCTCCCCTCAACCTTTGTGAAACCTTTATAAGAATTTATTTTTGATGCCTAATTACTTGCTGTCAATTTTGTTAATGAACATTTTTCTTCTGTTTGCCTTATATTCTCACCTAGATTTTACATCTATGAAAAGAACAATTCTATCTTAGTATTTCCCAGGATACTTACAGATATTGAACACCTAGATCAATTCACTCTACACTGAATGAATATTCTTTAAATCTTCACTAGTTCTCTGCCTCAGAGCACTTGGCAACTTTATACTGTTAAACAGTTGGTATTATAAATGATCATTGCACTGTACCATAATATGGAGTCCTGGTGTGGCACTGTGGGTTAACGCGCCAGACTGCAAAGCCATTTGAACTACATGGTCAGTGGTTCAAGCTTACCAGCTGCTCCTTGGAAACTCTACAGGGTTGTTATGATTAGTAACTGACTTGACAGCACTTACCAGTAACAACAAACCGTAATACATGAGGGGACTTCAAAAAGCTCACAAACAATGGAATTAAAAGGTAATGGAATAACAAACAAGATGGTGGAGAGGGTAGAAGTATAGTGAGGAGCTCCATCAGCAACAACACAATACCAAACCAAACAGTCTTAGGGTATGGTGCCAGAATGCTAAACCACATATAAAGGAATATTTAGAAGGTTGGAAGGCTTACAGCTAGGAGAATTCGTAGCAGAAGCAAGAAATCCATTGCTTTCTAATTCAAGTCACTTAGCTGCTGCTCCTGGACCCGCAATCTTGGTCAAGACCAGCAGGGGAAGGATCAGAGCAGCAGAGATAAAGGTGTGGACATTCTTTTTTTTTTTGGTATCTGTTCATTGGTTTCTCACTGTCTGTGCACGTCCATTCTGGTGAGTAGAGCAAGTGGACACTCCACCCCCACCCCCGGAGGGTTCTAGTATGAATGCACACAGAGCTCCTTGAAATTTAAAGTGACAGCTTCCACTTAAAACCAAATGGCAGCGCAAAATGGCCACAGCCAGCCTCGAACTGTTTATCACTAGGAAAAAAGGCCTTAACAGGAGTTGTGGAGCAGGAAAGGCAGACTAAAAAGGAAACAGGCCAAAAGTTAAATCCTGAGTTACATCACAACAACCAACAGTGACATCTTGAAATTTCTCAGAAAGAAGAGTAAAGAGGAGGGAAGCCCACATCCTGATCACATCTACCTGGAGGCAATCAGAAAATATGTAAAATACCATCTAAGTATTGAGGCCACAGATAACTCCTGAATATGGCCAAAAAACAGAAGCAGATGACCATATCAGCCTAAGATTCATGTTGGACAACATGAAGAGGAATAACAAGAATTATCAGCATCCCGGAACAGGAAGAATCACACGGTCCACAGAAGAGATACTTGAAGAGCTTCTGGAGGAAAATTTCCCTAACATCCTGAAAAACGAAAAGATAAGCATTCAAAAGCTCAACAAAACCCAGAAAGGATAGATCCTAAAAGACAACCATGAAGACATATAATAATCAAACTCTCCAAAATCAAAGATAAGGATAGAATCCTGAAAGCATCTAGGGAAAAGAGAAGTGTTACATACAAAGGCAAACAAATCAGATTAAGCTCAGATCTCTCAACAGAAACCATGCAGGCAAGAAGGCAATGAGGAGACATATATAAAACCCTGGAAGAAAAAAACTGCCACCTAAGAATCCTCTACCCAGCAAAGCTGTAAATCAAATAGGATGGTGTAATTTCAATACATTCCAGGATAAACAAAAGCTAAGGGGTTTTTGCCAAAGCCAATCCTGTGATGAAAAATATCCTAAAGTAAGTTCTGTGGACTGAGAACCAACAAGAACAGAAAACAACCAGAGAATGATGTACATGGCAGCATCACCCTGAATTCAGTCAACAAATGGAAGAGTCAAGAACAGAATAAATTTATAAGAACAGAGGATCTGGGAGGTCAGTCTATGATCAAAGCAATTACAATATGAGATAAGGTTAACACAGAGGAATAGAGATCCAGGTGGTGAGAAGGTCAAGTAGATTACAGGATAAAATAGACTGTCTTAAATGGAGGGAAGAATTAATGGAATATAAGGTAACCACATTGAAAATTGGAACATGGAATTTACGAAGTATGAATGTGGGAAAATTGGAAGTTATCAAAAATGAAATGAATGCATAAACATTGATATCTTAGTCATTAGTGAGCTGAAATGGACTAGTATTGGCCATTTTGAATCTGACAACCACATGGCTTACTGTGCCAGGAATGACAAATTGTAAAGGAATGGTGTTTCATTCATCGTCAAAAAGAACATATCCAGATCAGTCATGAGGTACAATGCTGTATGTGATAGGATAATATCCCTGTGCCTACAGGGAAGCCTAGTTAATACTAATATTATTCAAACTTATGAACCAACCAATAAAGCCAATGAGGATGAAACAGAAGAATTCTACCAACTTCTTCTATCTGAAATTGATCAAACATGCAATCAAGATGTATTGCTCATTACTGATGTTTGGAATGCAAAGGTTGGGAGCAAAGAGGAGGGACCAGTAGTTGGAAAATATGGCCTTGGTGATAGAAATGATGCTGGAGA